GTGAGATGTACACCCAATATAGACATGTTTATACCACGGGCAAATAATAGCATACACGATCCGACCAGGACAGGATATAAAGTCATAACGAATCCTAAGTATCTGCAACAATAAATCACAAAATTTAAAACCCCAACGAATCTAGTTAATAATAATTAATAAAACAATAACTAAGTGAAATAAGTAGGTGACCTCATCCACAGGCAAGGAGGTGGCGTATTGTTGATCTCAATCTTCATCATCTTCCTCCTGGAGGCCTTGTTCTTCGACCGATTGCTTAAACATTTTCCTTGCTCAGATCGCAGTCACATCCGCCTCAGCCTGATCCAACTTAATGTCATTGATCCCTTCTTTTTGCCACAACTTCTGTATATTCATTTTCTTAGCTACGCACAATGCTCATTTTTCCTCCTCTTATAGTTTTTTAAGTTGGACTTCCTCAGGTTTCTCGGATACTTCCTCAACAACTTTCGTATTTCTAGGACCTCCTTCTTTGTCCGAATCGTCATCATCCACCCGTATGACACTCAACGCCGGTTAGAGATTACGAGGCATTGTTTTCCTTACCAATGATCTTCTTGCTGAAAGCCAATGTTTAGTCAGCAATTGCGCACCAATGTGCACCATTCGCTCTTTAAGAGCCTGCACTTCATTGTTTGCGATTTCTTCGCCAGCTTGTGCCTTCTTGTATGCCTTATAAAGGGCCTCTAGATTCTTAGGGGTATACATGGCTTCGCCACTTGAAGCCAACTTCTGGATTCCTTTGTCTGGCTGCGCTTGTGGACTCTTCTCGGTGACCACTTTGGAAGCTCGCTTATTGTTTACATTTTTGAGCTCCGCGATCTCCCTCTTCAGATTCTGAAAAGCTTTTTTGAGATTCAAGTTCTCGACTTTCAAAGCGCATAATTCACAACTGTGATCCTGCAGTGCGGTACAAACATGTTCAAGTTCTTGAATCTGCAGCCGGAGCGCCGTGGTTTCATCACTCTGTGAACTTTCGAAGGTTGCGTCGGCCAATTTTGTCTTCTCGCTCCACACCCTCAACATCTCGATCTCCTTCTTAAAAAATTCTTCTTCATTGCTCATGGACTGGACTTTTTGAAGAACCTCTTTCTCCCGCTGCAGCGCCACAAGAATGGATTCGACTTTTTCTCCCACACACCTTGCCTTCAGCTCTTCCAACCCGCGTTTCACCTTACTAATCTCCGACTCATCATCCTCGGGAATATTGACCTTCTTCCCTAGGACCGATTTACATTCAGACTTCATACTGCTCCTCACGATCTTCCCTGACCTTGCCTCGTACATCTCCTTCTCCTTCCTTGCTTGCATAATCCTTTCCACTTTCACCTACAGCCTTCTTTGCTAACCTTGCCTCGTGCATCTCCTTTTCCTTCCTTGCTTGCATAATCCTTTCCTTACGATCTTCCCTAACCTTGCCTCGTGCATCTCCTTTTTCTTCCTTGCTTGCATAATCCTTTCCTCTTCCACCTGCAGCCTTCTCCTCTCAGCTTCGAGCAATTCTAGTTTGACTGCTTCAGTGCTTTCTGCTTCTTCCACTCCGCTCCTCCGCCTGTTCCGAAAGCATGTCGTAAATCCTGTCGAACCGGTCATCTTTATCCCGATCCTTGTAAACCCCTCCCCAAGGCTTTGAAAACCGTTGTCCACCATAGCCCTGTTTACCTCGATTACTACTATAGTTCCCGTATCCGCCGTTATTGCCTCCAACATCATTAGCGCATCAGTTCTGCGACACCTGATATGGCACAATCGCGCTAGAAGTGTCAGATGCCCCAGCAACCTGAGAGGAAGAAGAAGAAGCTGGTGCTAGCAGTAACCCACATCCGTCACTTCGCGCACCACAGTTCATAACGCCTTGTATGTCCGCTGCCATCTCCTCCCCATTCGGACAGTTGAGAATAGGACATTCTCGAATAAAATGTCCGGGGGGCCGACAAAAATGGCAGACACCTGGTCGATAGATCTTCAAAAGGAACTAAATGCGTCCCCTGAAATTCGAACTGTCGGGCAGAAAAGCCCTAAAAAATCCCACAGCGCAGCAGACTCAAAGATAAGGAGGAAAAAAGAAGAAAAAGAAAAAGCAGGAGAACCTTGAAGAAAAGGACAGAAGAGATGGAAGACAACCACAACGAATAGACAATAGGCAAGGATCACGGTCACACGTGCAGGGTGAACGATCCCCCCGACGGTTGTCTGTGTGTGTCACAGTGAAGCAACATTCATGCAAGTGCAGACACTTCGTCAAGCGAAAAACACTTTGCCAAAGGAAAAGAAGAGAGAAGAAGACGAGATACAAAAAAAAAACCGCACACATAGATTAAAGATTTACAATAAGCACAGTGGAAAATTGGCGCAATGCGCCATAGTCATGAAGCTCAGATAACAGACTACCGTACACGTGCTTCGACCGGGTCATCGAAAATCCCGCCATCATCAGGGGGAAGCGCTGGTGAGATGAAAAGGAGAGCACAAGACCAAGCTTTTATCCTACTCGGACAGAAAGACTGGTCTGAAAAATAAAAGAAAAAGAAAAAAGAAAAGAAAAAGTCCCAAGCTCAGTTGACAGACTACCTCATTAGGAGGGACTTCTCTTGTGCAGACTAGCGCAGAATCTGATCGCACGGGTAATGATGATGGGTGCACTCCTTTTCTTTTTTTCCCCTTACAAAGACCAGGTTGTTGTAGAGGTGAGATACTAGACAGATGGCAGTCACCCACAAAACTCAGCCACTCTATTGTCCAGATGAACCCCTCTGAAGAACCCACCAACACTTCTTTTCATCTTTTTTGCCTTGGCGCACCCCCCACCCCTTTGTCCTACCCTAGTGTTAACCACCCAGGACCATCACCCATTGCCTTCTTGGCGGGGTGACCTGACCAGAGAGCGGTAGCAGGCACGGGGGCTAAGCAGAGACCCCTACCCCCTGCTCAACCCCGGTTGAAGCAGATACTGTGCAAGCCTGATTGCACGGGGACTTTGGGAGCTAGGTATGAACATGCTCCTACAAATTTTCATGAGGGTGTACAGTGACTCCCATCTAGCTTAGTTGTGTGGTGATGATAGAGAGCTGGGTATCCTCCGTTCCGTCGTTTGTCCCCGGAGCCCGTTCCGGCCCTGCGGTAAGGTGCCGTATTTCTTGACACCCCCGACATCCCGTAAGCCTCAACCTTATGCTACGTATTAGGAGGATAGCCAACCCCAGGTCATGAGTTATGGACTGAGTTTCTTATCCTTTATGTTGTCTTACTACAGTGTTCTATGGTGTTGATGGCAGAGAGATGGGGAACTCTGGTGCACTCCCCATGGAAGCTACATCTTATGCAAAGTCTTTTTGGGGCTTGTTAGACACTCCTCGGCGCGTCCTCGGGCTCCGAGGGGAAATCCTCGGGGCAGCCCGAGGATTTTCCCGCTTTCGTTCAAATGCTCCCTCGGGATGACGCCCGAGGATGCTCGGAGGACTGGCCGCAGGGAGACGTATAATTTTATACGCGGCCGCGGGATGAAAGTTTGGGCGGTGGTCCATCGTCCGGTGTCCGTGCGAGCGGCCTTGGTCCACCGCGTTTGGCCTTCGAATTCGAAAAGGGACTGCTGCCGCCGCAATGAGGAAAAAAATCCGCGCGCGCGCGTGTAGTTTCAAAATTCAAATTTCGAATCGGCCAACCATGCCGTGCGGTGTGGTTCCGCGGGTACATGCAGGTACCTTGGGGCGACCCCATCGGGGACTCTGAGGGGTTTTGCAGTGGGCGTCACGCGGGGGAGCCGCTAGCCGTTGTGGCGTCAGCACAATGTTCCACACGTATTTGAAGAGATGGCTCTCCGTGGCCCTCCCTCGACTGTTGTGAGCGTCGCGTTCCGCCTTGCTCGTTCGTCCTCACGCACCGCGGCACGACCGCCATCTCCGCCAACTTGGTCGTGGGCAGTGTCCATTGCTGGGGGCGTCCGGTCGATTGTTGGGCGAGTTCACTCCGCGAGGATGACCACGATGTCTGAGGTAGTCCATGTGCGTGGAGTGGGTGATGGGAATGACGTCAGGGCCCGGTTGTCCGCTCTGGAGAGGGGTGCCGTGACGTCTGTCGTAGCCGCCGTCATCATGCATTGCGACATGGACGTCCAAGGTCAACGGCGGTGGGCACGACTACGTGCTCGAAGAAGGAAGTTGATGCCGGCGACGACGAATGAAGCGTTGGATAGCGCTTCCATCTGTGATGCCGTGTTGGAGGTGTGTTGTGCACTGGGGTGTGGGGGACTACCGAGGGCGACGCCGAGGTGGTGGGTAAGAAGGAGGACGGGGGGGACTTGGGAGGATCTTCGGCCTGTGGATGACGCCACCGACGATTACTTCCGCGACAAGTTACGGATGTCTCCACGTGTCTTCCGGGAGATCGTTGAGAACTTGTCGCCAATTCTCCAGCGACGTGTGACGTTGTATAGGGAGCCGTTGCAACCAGACCAGATCGTCGCCTACGCGCTGTACAGATGGGCGTCGGGCGAGACATACGAGAGCAACAACTGCAGCTTTGGGATTGGCAGGGCTTCAGGTTTGGTGGCCGTCCGGGACGTTACTGCTGCGCTGCTTTCGGTGTATAGGGAGAAGGTGGCGTGGCCGACTGGGGTGTGGACGGCGATCGTTCTGCGTGCTTTTGCAGACAAGGGTTTCCCGAACTGCCATGGGTGCATCGACTGCACCCATATCTACGTCGACAAGCCGGCGAATGCACCTGCAAAAAACTAATACGACCGCAAGAGACGCTTCTCTGTCGTTGCTCAAGTGGTGGTCGACTTGGACTTGCGCATCCTGGACGTATTCGTGGAATATCCGGGGAGTTGCCACGACGTCCGGATCATCCATCTCTCCAATCTATGGTCGCGGGCGGAGGCGGGAGAGTTGTTTACAGGGCCTCCTGTGTTGCTACTGTTCTAAGTGTAGACGTCGTCTTCCCCGACGTCACCTCTGCCGCCGCTCTGCCCCTCGTGCCCC